CGACTGCGCGCGCGACCGCACGCCGCCCACGCTCCCCGCGCGCGAGCGCGAGTGCGACGACCCCGAATGGCTCGACTGCGTCCTCGAGTGGTGTCCGCTCCCGCCCCCAGAGTGGGAGTTGGACCGCGAGTTGGACCGCGAATGCGAGTACCCGCGCCGATGCGCGCCCAGGCTCACATTGCTCGCCCGAGGCGAGAGCAGCCCCACGCGGTCCTCGCGCTCGCCCGCGTGCTCATGCGACCCCTCCGACTCGAGCGCGGCCTCCTCGCCGTGCCCCTGCGGCAGCAGCTCGTGCTCGGCCAGCGGCGCCCCGGGCTGCGGCCCCGCCCCAAACGCACTCGTCACGCCGCTGTCCATGCGCTCCCGCACGGCGGCGCGCGGGAAGTCCACGGGCAGCGGGATGGACAGGGACGACGCGGACGCCGACCCAGCGGGCACGGGCACCGTCCCCGCGCGACTGCGCCCGCGACCCTGCTGCGGGTGCCTCGGCGGCGGCGGCATCGCGATCCCCGCCCCCGCGCTAAGATGCCGCCCATTTCCATTCCCGTTTGCACTATGCGCAGGGCTGTCCGCGAGCGAGCTCGCGGTCCGTGCCGAGCTCGGGCTCTGCCCTGAGCTGCTCGACTCGACGTTGCCGGTGCTCTGCGACAGCCGCGAGTGCGCGCCGGTCGAGCCGCGCGTGTTGGTCGAGCCCCGGGTGTTGGTGGAGCGCGTGTTGGCGTTGGTCGAGTGCGTGGCGTGCGAGGACGCGCTCGCGCCCCGCGCGGGGCGGCGGAACTGGAAGGGGTAGCGCGACGTGACGGGCTGCCCAAGGCTCGACATCGAGCCCGACGCGCGCTCAGACGACGGCACCTCGCTGCCAGGGAGCCCTTCCTCTTCCTCCTCCTCCTCCTCCTCCTCCTCCTCTTCCTCCTCCTCATCTTCGTCTTCCTCGAGGTCCTCGTCGCCTTCGTCTTCGTCTTCCTCACCCTCCGCCTCCTCCAGACTCCCACTCGTGTCGCCCTGCGCCTCCGGCGGCCCAGGCGACGGCGGGAACGGCACCATCACCCGGTCCCGGCTCGACATCTGCGCCCCCGGGCCCGCGAACGGATACCCCACCCCACCCGGCGGCGCCTTTTCCTTTTCGCGCTGTTCCCGTCTCATAACCTGCCATCCGTCCGTCAGCCCTCACTCTCTTACCGCGATAACGAACTGGCACTAACCTTAACGCCCTCCTCCGGCTCCTCAAACAGCTCGCCCGAAAGCACGCCGCGCCGCGCAGGCGGCGGCGCGCTCGGGAACCCAATCGCCGCCATCACCTGCTCCATCCCCTCAAAGCCCGGCGTCGGCGCCGGCGTCGTCCCCGCCAGCAGCTCGCTCATGTCCGCCTCTGCGTCCGTCGTCTACACACACACACACACAATCAGCTCTTGAAACCAAGCGAGGGACAGAGCACGCACCTCGCGCTTGCCATGCGCAACATGCGCGCCCGGGTGCCCCGACAAGCAAAACTCCCACGCGCCGCGCACGCGCGCGGCCGTCTCCTCGCGCCACCGCCACGGGAGGGGGTCGTCCTCAGAGAGGTCGTCCGCGTACGTCGCCGTGCTCTTCTCGTGCGCCTCTTCTTCCCAGCGGTGGCGCGGGCCGCAGATGCCGCCGCAGGGCGCGCCGGAGAGCAGGAGCAGACCGAGCCTGGGAGGTGAGTTAGCGAACGAACGAATGAGGACGAAGAAGAAGGGGTTGTGTCGTCCGAGCGCAGGACCCCCTCCCAAAAACCAAAAACAGAAATCAGCTCACCACGCGCCCAAACACACCACCCCCCGCCACACCGCCCACGCCGCGTTCGCGAGCAGCACGCCGCGCGCGTAGCCCGTCAGCGCGCCGTCCGCGCGGAAGAACGTCGCGTCCCGCGTGCTTGCGGCGAGTCCGTTTGCGTTTGCGTTCCCAGACTAAAAGGGGGGGAAGCGTTAGTTAGCATTGGTGTCGGTGGGAGCTCAAAACCCTCACCTGCGTCCAAAACCCAATAAGCACCGCGGCCGCGATCCCCGCGCGCGGTAGCAGCAGCGCGACGGTGGGGCCGTTCTGCGCGTAGAGCGCGCAGCTCTCCGCGAGGATGCTGCGCCGCGAGGGCGAGGCGGGCCCGGGCGGGAGTGGGGGGCTGTGAGGAGACGTAGTGAGCGTGAGTGAGCACGGCGGACTTGTATGTGAGAGGAGGAAGGGAGGGGAGGGAGGGAAAGAAAAGGAGGAAGGGCAAACAGACGAAACGTTAGGCATCCTCTAACGTCGTGGTTTCCCAACACACTCTGTCGCCCCCAGCACTCATCCTTATCGTCGTCGTCGTCGCTCGGCACAGGAGCGAAGCGACCGTGCCTCACTCCTCCTCTTCTTCTCGGAGAAACGGAGGGAAAAGAGGAAAAGTGGGGAAGGGAGGGAAGGAAGGAAAAGGAGGAAGGGCAAAAGCGGAGTTGTATGCGAGAAAGACATGCGAAACGGAGGAAGGGAAAGACACACCTCCCCGCGGCGTTGACCGCCGTCGCGCTGCTGTACCCCCGCGCATGCGGGGCGTACGCGCTGCCGGACGAGGTGCGCCGGCCGTGCTCGTGTGTGTCGGGGTTTGCGTTGTTTGCCTAGGAGGGGGAAAAGGAAAAGTCAGGATTTGGTATCCAAGATTCAAGATTCAGGGAAAAGGAAATGAAATGAAAGAGGGGAGAAGGAAGGGAAGGGAGAAGGAAGGGAATGGAAGTAGTTAGTGGAAGGGAGGGAAGGGAGGTAGAAGAGAAAGGAGGGCAAACACCAGAACGCGATAACAAATGAACGCGAAACTTCGAGTCTTAGCTGTACGAACGATGCGTCGACGGAAAGAAGGGCAGGTGCGGTGAGAAAAGAGAAGTGAATGAATGGGTAGAAGGTACGTATGTATGTAGTAGTACAAAGGAAACGGAAACAAATATCGTAGAAGAGGCCGGTGAAGGTAAGGTAGGAGATGGCAAGCAGCTCGATAGCAACACGAAAAAACACCGCCGCCACCACGCCCAAAGAAAAAACAAAGCAACTCACCTCCCCCCACGCGCCCCACCGCACATACTGCAAAAAGCAAAACGTCGCATACCCCGTCATCCCCGCGAGCGCATACGCCGGCGCACTCAGGTACACCGCCAGCACGCGCGGGCGCTTCGTGCGCCAGCGCCGCGCGAAGCAGTACACGCCCTCGTACACCAGCACCACGGCGAAGAGCCAGAGCGCCCAGCACGCGGTGTAGGCGGCCGCGGCGAGGGCCCAGTTGTGCGGGTTGTTGGAGGGGGAGGGGTGCAGCGCGATTCTGCGGGGTGTTAGCGGTGTGTATGTATACAGAGAGAAGGGGGGACGCACTGGATGAGCACGAAGACGGCATTGAAGTCGAAGAAGGTCTGGAGCGGGATGTGGGCAAAGACGAGGAGGGGCCAGAGGTAGAAGTAGAGGCGCATCCAGGGGGAGGGGGAGCGCTGCAACCAACCAACTTGCAATCAATATCCACCCACATGAAACGAAGGGGCACGAACGAGTAACTCGAGCCGCAGGCCGCGGGCACGGAAGCGCGGGGTTGCGCGCCGCTCGTCTTCGGCGCTGAGCGCGGCGTTGACCGAGAAGAGCGGGACGCCCATCCCGCGGGACCACACACGCGGCGCGGGCGGCTGGTCCCCGTGGGCATGGCCGTGGTTCGTAGCGGCCACGTGCCCGCCCTCGAGACTGACGATGCGCACACTCCGCGGCGTCGCCTTGCGCCCGCCCACGAACGGCGGCGGCGTGCTCGGGACCTCCCCCGTGGGGCTGCTCGGCCCCGGTGCAGCGAGCTCGGAGTGGTACGTGCTCGTGGGGGCGGGGTGCAAGGGGCGCTTGGGCAGCCAGGAGGGATAGCCCTCCGAGTCCTTGCTCATCCTCCTGTGTGCCGAGTCGGAACTGGAGTTGTTGTTGGTGGCGTCCGGGATGTGCTGCAGCTGTTCCAGCAGAGACTCGACGGCAAGGGATGAGCCGGGGTCGTTATCTGGGGTTGACATTAGTATCGTTGAAGTAACGCGTCCCTGGTCGTGCTAGTCGTACGCGACACCTTCTGGGCGCGGTAGCCTCGTGTATGATGGCGGCGGTCTACAAGAGGCACCCAAAATGAAAAAACAACCAACCGTGATTGCTGACAAATCCACTCTATTGCTAGCGCTATCTCCACGCGGCTATCTCAGGGTCCTCCACGTCGACGTCGATGCAGGCTGCCAGTCGGAGGGAGTATACTTGGAGTATACAACAAAAGAGAGCGAGAGATGAAAGGAATGTAAGTACTTGAAGGATTGAAGGATTGAAAAGAGATGCAGAAAGCACCCGTTCGCTGCTCGTTGCTAGGCCATTGAATTTACCTCCGCGGACGCTGATCAATAAGCCCCTATTTGCTTGAATTCTGCTCACTCCTGCTAATACGGCCTCAGATGCCCATAAACAGGTTTATTCTCTGAATTGACGTCACCGTTCCATTCCCCTCCATTCACCGCGCTTCGATGTATATCCGTATCGCGATTCGCAACTTCCATTTCAACCCAATTCCTTCGACTTCCCACCGGGATTTAATTTGCCAACTACTCAGTATGATTCCCGATTCAGCCTCCTGCGCCGCTCGAGATACGTACTATCCACGGCTCACACAAGTCGGACATGGTGTACGGAACACCGCCAGCGTTCATGATACGACTTTTACTTAGTCGCTAGTAGTCCGGGGTTCGACTCCCTGTGTCCGAATCGTCGTTCGAGATAAAAAATCCATTCTTTTTGGCCTTCCATCCATCCTTCTTTTTTTTCGGGGGGGGATCCCTGATACCGCTCTCTTCCGCCCAATCTCAACTCAAATTCCGCCGCAACGGTGCACCCTCAGATTAGATTGGTCTTGTTAGATCCGATGCATATGATTGCTGCTGTGTCACTTGACCTTCGAGTCTGAACCCGGCCAATCTAACTCGAAACTGTTAGCTCGCCTCCATCCTCCTCACAAGGGAAAATAGTCGGACATGGTGTACGGAACACCGCCAACTTTCTTCAACGACAAGCTAAGGAAGAGTCGCTGGCAGTCCGGGGTTCGACTCCCCGTGTCCGAATAGCCCCCAATTCTCTTCGGCTTTTTTGGGTGGGATGCCCCCAAGTGCCATTCTCTTTTTCCCAGTGGCAGCAGCCGATGTTATCTCAAATGCTGCTCAACCTCGAATCCGTTTGGCTGTCCAATGATTCCCGTTATGTCAGTTCACCTTCAAGTTTGAACCCAGCCAATGCAACCTGAAAGTATCAGCTCACCTACCTCCTCGCTACAGCAGACAGTAATCGGACGTGGTGTACGGAACATCACCAGCTTTCTTAAGACTTCCATCCCATAAGAGAGGTGCTGGCAGTCCGGGGTTCGACTCCCCGTGTCCGAATGATGGGACAGCGTCTTTCTTTTTCCCTTTCCTTCTTCTTTCTTTTTGGTAATTCAAAGACTGCTGATGCTGTTCCATTGCTGTCCAGTGGGAAAATACTTACTATTGAATCGAAAAGTTCTGCTGCAACCTCAGATCGGTTTGGTTAGATCCGATGATTGCTCTTGCGTCACTTGACCTTCGGCTTTGAACCCAACCAATTCAACTCGAAACTGTTAGCTCGCCTCCATCCCCCCGACAAGGAAAAATAGTCGGACGTGGTGTACGGAACACCGCCAGCTTTCTTGAAACCTGCAGACGACGAGTCGCTGGCAGTCCGGGGTTCGACTCCCCGTGTCCGAATAGGTCAGAAATCTCGATTCCTTTTTTGTTATTCAAGAACAACCCAATCCCTGATGTCCTCCATTTTTTGCCTGGGCAGCAGCTAACCAACCCTATTAACCCAGTTCCGCTGCACCCTCAAATCGGTTTGTTCGACGCTGATTGCTGGTTGCTTCATTAACTAAACCCATCCAACTGCAACCAACAAACCCCACTCAACTATCCTTCTACTCATCTCCTCCTTACAGCAGGTAACATTCGGACATGGTGTATGGAACACCGCCAGCTTCCCTGAGGTCGTTTATCATGAGAACAGTCACTGGCAGTCCGGGGTTCGACTCCCCGTGTTCGAATGATTTGTTTTCCCCCTTTTTTTTGGGTGGGATGCTCCCAGGTGCCATTCTCTTTTTCACAATGGCAGCAGCCGATATCGTTATCTCAAATGCCGCTCCAACCTCAAATTGGTTTGGTTGATCCGATGATTGCTGTTGTGTCACTTGACCTTCGAGTTTGAACCCAGCCAATCTAACTCGAAACTGTCAGCTCTCCTCCATCCTCCTCACAAAGGAAAATAGTCGGATGTGGTGTACGGAACACCGCCAGCTTTCTTGAAATCTCTACACAGCAAGTCGCTGGCAGTCCGGGGTTCGACTCCCCGTGTCCGAATAGCCAGGAACAGTTCATTCCTTTTTTGTTATTCAAGAACATCCAATCCCTGATATCCTCCATTGTTTGCCCTATTAACTCAATTCACCTGAGTTCTGCTGCACCCTCGAATCGGTTTGTTCGACGCTGATTGCTGGTTAACATTGCTTCATTAACTAAACCTATCCAACTGACCAACAAACCCCACTCAACTATTGATATCCTTCTACTCATCTCCTCCTTACAGAAGGCAACATTTGGACATGGTGTACAGAACACCGCCAGCTTCCCTGAAGTCGTTGATCCTGAGAACAGTCAGTGGCAGTCCGGGGTTCGACTCCCCATGTCCGAATTAGTGCTGTCCATTGATATAATACGAAATAATATATTATTAATATATCAGTATTAATACGGATACGATACAGAGAGGAGGTAGATTCAAGGAAATAATACCCAGTAATATAATATGATATGATATGAATATTAATACAATATGAAAGGCCTGATCCGTATTATTTCATATCATGGCAAGTTCCAGAACAGCTGATGCTATCACATATATGAGTACTGGGACTGGGTCTTTTGGTTACAATTTTGTGCCAACTGAAACTGGAAGTATCAGTCGCTCTCCTCATACCTTCCATATCAGAGTGACTGGTGTTGACATTGCTGGATGACTCAGGCTGGTGCGGGCCGCCCCGGACTGCCGACTAATATGCTCTTGGATACCTTTGGTATCAACCACGGAAATTCTGGGTTTGATACTCATCATCTCAGTGAGCTAAAAACTAACCCTTAAATGTCTAGTTTATGCAGTGCCTATTCTGTTGCTGGAATTTACGATCTGAGGAACATTTTCAGCAACTCCGAAACAACAGGGGGTCAGCATTGCTATTGAGCGACTGTATTCCAGCATGAAACACACCTTGATGGATAATTGAGCTTCAATGACCTCCCAAAATTGGTCAACGTGTATTGTAACCAAGGAACAGCTCAATTCTGGGCTGGGTGAGGGGCTCGGACAGAGGTGTTGAACATCCACAAATATTAATTGATATATCAATAATATATTATGATATGTATTAATACATATGAAGATAATATAATATGGATATGATACGGAGCCCTGGGGTATAATATGATATCCATGTAATATTACACCAAAAATCATATTGATATCATATTTTGGACAGCACTAGTCCGAATGGATCATAACCGTTTCTTTTTCTGATGATTCTGAAAAAATGGCAATACACCACCCATTGCATTGCTATTGCTTTCCCAGAAAACTACACTTGTTGCTGTAAAAACAATTTTCACTCAAGCTAACATGAACCTCCAATTGACTGAAACAATCTTTTTGTGTTCTTTCCGACTCTGAATCCAGCCATCGGGTAGTATCTCGTTGCATGTATTCCACACAGGGAATAATAATTGGCATGGTGTACGGAACACCACCAGCTTTCTTGCGAGTCACATGTAAAAAGGTCACTGGCAGTCCAGGGTTCGACTCCCTGTGTTCGAATGATGGGAAAGCGCAGGAGTTTTTGCCTTTCCTTCTTTCTTTTTGGTAATTCAAAGACTGCTGATGCTGTTCCTTTTCTGTCCAGCAGGCAAATAATATTGAATCGAATTCTGCTGCAACCTTAGATTGGTTTGGTTAAATCCGACGATTGCTGTTGTGTCACTTGACCTTCGAGTTTGAACCCATCCAATCTAACTCGAAACTGTTGGCTCGCCTCCATCCCCCTCACAAGGGACAATAGTTGGACATGGTGTACGGAAACGCCAGCTTTCTTGCAAGAAATTTTTGGACAACAAGTCGCTGGCAGTCTGGGGTTCGACTCCCTGTGTCCGAATCATTGCTTGCGACAAAAAATCCATTCTTTTTAGCCTTCCTTCCTTCTTTTTGTTTGGGGGGGGGGAGTCCCTGATACCGCTCTCTTTTTCCCAATCTCAACTCAAATTTCACCGCAACGGTGCAACCTCAGATCAGATTGGTTTGGTTAGATCCGATGCATATGATTGGTGGCGGTCAGAGTATGATTTTAAATACGTGATTCTGACGACGATTCTGAACTCGATTCTGGAATTTATTTATCATGGGAAAATCGTCATAATTCAGAATCGTCTCGAGAATCATTGAAGAATCGTGTAGAAGCGCCTCCGGAAGCACTTCTACAACGATTCTCAAAGGCGATTCTGACTTTAATTTAATTTACCGCCGATTCTGAACAATTCTTACACAATTCCCACGATCAATAAATGCCAGAATCGAGTCCGGAATCGTCGTCAGAATCGATGCGAGAATCACTCAGAATCATCTACTCTGACCATCACTATTGCTGTTGTGTCACTTGACCTTCGAGTTTGAACCCAGCCAATCTAACTCGAAACTGTTAACTCGCCTCCATCCTCCTCACAAGGGAAATTAGTCGGATGTGGTGTACGAAACACCGCTAGCTTTATTGAACTCTCGGTCAAAGAGTCGCTGGCAGTCCGGGGGTTTGACCCCCCGTGTCCGAATGAATTGGGTGTTTCTGTCTTTTTGGGGGTGGGATGCTCCCAGGTGCCATTCTCTTTTGCCCAATGGCAGCAGCCGACGTTATCTCAAATGCTGCTCCAACCTCAAATTGGTTTGGTTTTCCACTGATTCCCGGTCGCAACAGTGGTTGTGTCAGTTCACCTTCAAGTTTGAGCCCAGCCAATGCAACTTGAAAGTGTCAGCTCACCTACCTCCTCGTTACAGCAGACAATGATCAGACATGGTGTATGGAACACCTCCAGCTTTCCTGCACTCGTCATACAGAACAGTCACTGGCAGTCCAGGGTTCGACTCCCTGTGCCCGAATCATGATGTGAGACAAAAAATCCATTCTTTTTGGCTTTCCATCCTTCCTTCTTTTTTTTTTGGGGGGGGGGTCCCTGATACTGCTCTCTTTCTCCCAATCTCAACTCAAATTCCGCCGCAACGGCGCAACCTCAGATCAGATTGGTTTGGTTAGATCCGATGATTCAACTGATTGCCGCAGTGGTTGTGTCACTTGACCTTCGAGTTTGAACCCAGCCAATCTACCTCGAAACTGTTAGATCGCCTCCATCCTCCTCACAAGGGAAAGTAGTCGGAAATGGTGTACGGAACACCGCCAGCTTTCATGAACAAAACCGAGTCGAATCACTGGCAGTCCGGGGTTCGACTCCCCGTGTCCGAATGAGTACTTTGGGTTTGCATCCGATTCTTTTTTGGGGTGGGATGCTCCCAGGTGCCATTCTCTTTTGCCCAGCCGGCAGCAGCCGATATCATTATTTCAAATACTGCTCCGACCTCAAATTGGTTTTGTTAGATCCGATGATTGCTCTTGCGTCACTTGACCTTCGGGTTTGAACCCAGCCAATCTAACTCGAAACTGCGTTAGCTCGCCTCCATCCTCCTCACAAGAGAAAATAGTCGGACATGGTGTACGGAACACCTCCAGCTTTCCTGAAGTCGTTTGTCTTGAGAATAGCCGCTGGCAGTCAGGGGTTTGACTCCCCGTGTCCGGATGGTTGATGATTTGTATTTCCTTTTTTTTCTTGGGTGGGATGCTCCTAGGTGCCATTCTCTTTTTCCCAATGGCAGTAGCCGATGTTATCTCAAATTCCGCCGCAACGGCACAAGCTCAGATCAGATTGCTGTTGTATCACTTAACCTTAGAGTCTGAACCCAGCCAATTTAACTCAAATGTGTGTTTCCTAGGCCTCCTTACAAGGCAAAATAGTCGGATGTGGTGTACGGAACACCGCCAGCTTTCTTAAAATCTCCAGAAAACAAGTCGCTGGCAGTCCGGGGTTCGACTCCCCGTGTCCGAATAGCCCCCAATTCTCTTCGGCTTTTTTGGGTGGGATGCCCCCAGGTGCCATTCTCTTTTTTTCCCAGTGGCAGCAGCCGATGTCGTCTCAAATGCTGCTCAACCTCGAATCGGTTTGGCTGTCCAATGATTCCCGTTGTGTCAGTTCACCTTCAAGTTTGAACCCAGCCAATGCAACCTGAAAGTGTCGGCTCACCTACTTCCTCGTTACAACAGACAATAATCGGACGTGGTGTACGGAACATCGCCGGCTTTCTTATGATTTCTATCCCATAACAGAGGTGCTGGCAGTCCGGGGTTCGACTCCTCGTGTCCGAATGAATTGCAATCAATATTCTTTTTGGCTCCCCTTCTGTCCTTCCTTCCTTCTTTTTGTTTTGGGGGGGGATCCCTGACACCGCGCTCTTTTGCCCAATGGCAGCAGCCGATCTCAACTCAAATTCCGCCGCAACGGTGCACCCTCAGATCAGATTGGTCTGGTTAGATCCGATGATTGCTGTTGTGTCACTTGACCTTTCGAGTCGAGTTTGAACCCGGCCAATTTAACTCAAAAATGTGTTAGCTCGCCTCCATCCTCCTTACAAGGGACAATAGTCGGGCGTGGTGTACGGAACACCGCCAGCTTTCTTCAAACCTCTGGACAACAAGTCGCTGGCAGTCCGGGGTTCGACTCCCCGTGTCCGAATGATGGAATAACCGTGTTTCTTTTTGCCTTTCCTTCTTCTTTCTTTTTGGTAATTCGAAGACTGCTGATGCTGTTCTTTTTCTGTCCAGCGGGCAAATAATATTGAATCGAATTCTGCTGCAACCTCAGATTAGTTTGGTTAGATCTGATAATTCAACTGATTGCCGCAGTGGTTGTGTCACTTGACCTTGGAGTTTGAACCCAGCCAATCTAACTTGAAACTGTTAGCTCGCCTTCATCCTCCTTACAGGGAAAACAGTAGGACATGGTGTACGGAACATCGCCAACCTTCTTCAACAACAAGCTAAGGAAGAGTCGCTGGCAGTCCGGGGTTCAACTCCCTGTGTCCGAATTCGTGTGGAATTCTTCACTACTTTTTTATTATTCAGAAACAATACAATCCCTGATGTCCTCCATTTTTTGCCTGGGCAGCGGCTATGTAGTCAACCCTATTAACTCAATTGAACTGAGTTCTGCTGCACCCTCAAATCAGTTTGTTCAACGCTGATTGCTGGTTGCTTCATGATCATTAACTAAACCCATCTAACTCAACACTACCCCCGCCCCCACCTCACCTGTCTCCTTCTTACAGAAGATGATAATCGGACATAGTGTACAGAACACTGCCAGCTTTTCTGAAGTGATTGGTCAAACATGGAATGGTCACTGGCAGCCCGGGGTTCAACTCCCCATGTCCAAATGGCATGATTTCGTCCTTATTTTTACTTTCATTCTTTTTTCATGAGCCAATACACGCTCCCAGCTTTTTTTTTTTGCCCAGTGGCAGCAGCCCAAATTATACTAACTGAATTCAGCCGCACCTAAATTTGGTTGGATCAGACAGTTATTGCCAGGTCAGTTCATTCATCTTCAATATTGAAAACTAAACTAACAGTATCCTTCTATTCGTCTCCTCCGCACAGAAGATGATAATCAGACATGGTGTGCGGAACATCGCCAGCTTTCATGAAGACACGCAAGTTGGGTCGCTGGCAGTCCGGGGTTCGACTCCCGGTGTCTGAATGTCGAGATGGGTTCCTTTTTTAGTGAATTAGCGAATTAATACACAATCCTTGATGCTGTTTCTCTTCCGCCCCACAGTCAATATTGATTCAAATTCCGGCACAATCTCAAATTGGTTGGAATGATTGTGATCTATGGTGTCACTTGAGCTTCACTTCAAGTTAACTGAACCTAGCCAATTCCAAAGTTTCAGCTCACATCCGTCCTCCTCACAAGGCAAAATAATTGGACATGGTGTACGGAACACCGCCAGCGTTCATGGAGGCATACTGATTTCTAGTCGCTAGCAGTCCGGGGTTTGACTCCCCATGTCCACATGACTTGTTATTCTTTTTGGCTCCCCTTCCTTCCTTCTTTTTTTTTGGGGGGGGATCCCTGACATCGCGCTCTTTTGCTCTGCTGGCAGCAGCCAATTTCAACTCAAATTCCACCGCAACGGCGCAACCTCAGATCAGATTGGTTTGGTTAGATCTGATGATTGCTCTTGTGTCACTTGACCTTCGAGTTTGAACCCAGCCAATTTAACTCGAAAGTGCGTTAGCTCGCCTCCATCCTCCTTGCAAGGCAAAATAGTCGGATGTGGTGTATGAAAAACCACCAGCTTTCTTGAAATCTCTGTCAGAAAGTCGCTGGCAGTCCGGGGCTCGACTCCCCGTGTCCGAATGGCAAATTTCCCTTTGGGATATCTTTGTTCTGGTTTTCCTCCTTTCCTTCTTTTTTTGGGACTCAATGGGATGATCCCCAATCCTGGTCTCTCTTGCCCAGTATGTAATATCACAACCTCACAGATTGTTTTAGTTTTTGCTGGTTATTTTATATAACTGACCCTCAAGCTGGGTACCTGATTGTTTTTTGGTGAATTAATACATGATCCTTGATGCTGTTTCTCTTCTGCCCTGCAGTCAATATTGATTCGAATTCTGGCACAACCTCAGATTGGTTGGACTGATTGTGATTTGTGGTGTCACTTCAGCTTCACTTCAAGTTAACTGAACCTAGCCGACTCTAAAGTTTCAGCTCACATCCATCCTCCTCAATGGTTTACGGAACACTGCCAGTGCTCATGAGAGCACAATCTCTTGTCACTAGCAGTCCGGGGTTCGACTCCCCGTGTCCAAACGACTTGTTGACTTGTGACTGTCATTCTTTTTGGCTTTCCTTCCTTCATTCTTTTCTTGGGGGGGAACCCTGACGCCGCTCTCTTTTGCCCAGCTAATAGCAGCAGCTGATCTCAACTCAAATTCCGCCGCAACAGTGCAACCTCAGATCAGATTGGTTTGGTTAGATCTGTTGTGTCACTTGACCTCAGAGTTTGAACCCAGCCAATTTAACTCAGAAGTGTGTTAGCTCGCCTCCATCCTCCTTACAAGGCAAAATAGTCAGATGTGGACCATGTGGTGTATGGAACACCGCCAGCTTTCCTTGCATTCATCAAAGAAATACGGGGGCTGGCACCAGGGCTCAACTCCCCGTATCTGAATGGCGGGATTTGGTATATCTTTGTTTTGGTTTTCCTTCTTTCCTTCTTTTTTTTTGGGGACCCAACGGGATGATCATTGATGCTGGTCTCTCTTGCTCAGTATGTTATGTCAACTGCTGCTTCAACCTCACAGATTGTTCTGGTTTTTGCTGGTTAATTTATACAACTGACCCTCGAGCTGGTACCCCACCCAACACAACACTACCCCCGCCCCCACCTCACCTGTCTCCTTCTTACAGAAAATGATAATTGGACATGGTGTGCAGAACACTGCCAGCTTTTCTGAAGTGATTGATTGAACATGGAATGGTCACCGGCAGTCTGGGGTTTGACTCCCCATGTCCAAATGGATTACTATGATTACCGTTTTTTTCTGGTGATTCTGAAAAAATGGCAATACACTACCCATTGCATTGCTTTCCCAGAAAACTGCACTTGTTGCTGTAAAAACAATTTTCACTCAAGCTAACATGAACCTCCAATTTAATGAAGTGATCTTTTTGTTTTCTTTCCCACTCTGAATCCAGCCATGGGGTAGTACCTCACTACATGTCTTCCACACAGGGAATAATAATCGGACATGGTGTATGGAACACTGCCAGCTTCCTTATGTTGATTTGTGACAACTATGATTGACTGGTATTTTGGGGTTCAATTCCCTGTGTCCGAATTGCTTCTCTGAAAACATGCGAGCTTTTTTTGTCCGGTTAATCCTGCTACTGCTTGTTCTCTTCCTTTCCAGTCACATCCTGTGTACTGGGCCACAGGCCAATACCGGCATTCATCAAAAGCTGGAACTGTTTTGTTTGGTGGGTAAGTTTGTGAACCACGTGTCAATCAGGACAGTTAGGATAGACATTTGACACTGGGGGCAAGTGCCATGGCCATGCTTTCATAGGATAGGTGTGACACTTGCCATGGTAGACATCCTAGGTGTCAGCACAGAGCAGATTCCGGGTTCTGAGGAGATGAGGGCGACTGAAGCACGAAGACTTCCAACGAATAAGTCTGGAGTTTAGACTAGAATAGTGTACTGTAAGTGCTTGTACTGAGGCAACTGACTGACCCACCGTGACGCCATCAAAAAATTTGGGCAACGCAACCAGCCCGGATTTCGCCGTGACAGTGGAGAATTGGGCAACCGACCCTCTTGTATGTATGTATGCTGATGGCCTTGATTTCAATACAAATTGAGACTTTGGGGCTAACAAGAGGAGCACTGGGGCTGATTTGCATTTTTTTTTCACCCCATTTTGACCATTTTTTGGCAGGAAAAAAATATTTCGGAAATTTCCAGGCCATGTCATGGTCTTGACGAAGGCAACTGGAGGCATTGTGACCATCACAAGGCGCATTTTGGGCAACGCAACGGACCCCTCCATTACCGTGACAGTTGCCTCAGTACAAGCACTTGCAGTAAAGTACAGGGAAATAACTACAGCTTATATACTAAAGTCCCTAGGAGTTGTAAATTAAGGTACAGTGTCCAACGGCAACGGACAAGATTAATGCAGAGTAAATGAAGGGGTATATGAGCATAGAGGGGCAATTGGGAACCCGAAGGTCAGGAAACTGATTGCAACCGTTTGAGATCCTAAAACGGTATCCTGGTTCAATTGATCAGATAGTTGATCTGATCAATGATCAGGTTGTTCGGGTTGCTCAGGTTCTGGAAGTAAAATGAAAAAAATGGTTCATGACACTGGGTGTCTATTGAACAAAGGGAAAACCACAAAGAGGTGAGAAAATCTCAGTTTTCGGCCTCGTTGCCACCAAGTTTGTTTGACCGTGTGGGTTTTCCTGTGTCCATGCTTGTAGAATCAGTTTGAGTTAGGTTTGGCCACTGTAAGTTGAGTAACATCAAAGAATACTTGCCACACTGGTTGGCAGATTCAATTTTTCCAGCACAATTTACAGTGAAAAATGTCATTTGTTTTCCAGACATTTTTCACTGAAAAAAATGGTGAAATTTTCAAAGCTTTTTTACCCCTTTTTAACTTTCTTTTGAGTTTTTCACCTCAAACCGCAAACGTGGTGAAAATGTTTTGAGTTTTCCACCTAATTTCCAGCTGAAAAATTGATGGAAAACAAACCTCATTTTTCACTGAGGATTCAGCAGAAAATTTTGAATTTTCCAACCAGTGCCAGTTAGTTGCGTATTTTCCGCCTCCGCCCCTTTACCATACTGGGCATTTGATTTGCGGCATCTTTCGGCAAGGTGTTTTTGCCGTGATGCACCGCGCAAGCTGCTGCCACGGCGCCATTTGGACAGCAAATTCAGACAAGTCCACAAAATTGGGAAAGAGTTGGGACAGACAAGAAAGCTTGAATTACAATTCTAGGGGATGTACAACACTACTTGTATTGAGACGGAACATAGGCAACAAACGTGAAAGATGGTGTATTGAAGGCAAAGAGTTGGGCTGAGATTTGGTGGGCGGTGCAGGCAGCGGGCGACGCGTCTTGCAGTTAGGTGGCATGAGGATGGCTGGTGGAGGTGGAGGTCTAAGCCGCGACGAGGGAGCAGTGGACGGCGCCGCCGCCGCACGAGCCGCGGGGCGTGGTCGGGCACTGGCGCTGCTGGTGCTGGGGTTGGGCGGCGCGTGGGAAGTGGACGCACGAGCACGAGGCGCAGGCGCTGCCTCGGCGTGGTGCACGGCGACGTCCATATGCGGAGCGCCTGCGCGGGCCGATTTTTTGGGTTGTGTGGGACGTGGACGGCGCACCCGCTGCTCCTGGACCCCGCAGCTCGGCGTCCTCGCACTCCCACCACTGCTTGACGTCAGCGTGTAGTGCGGCGTCAACGTCATGGTGTACGATACGCGCCAGCGCTTGAGGGGGTGCGCTTCGCTGGGATCAGCTGGTTTGCGGCAGGGGTCGGGTGCGTTGAGGCAACGGTCGGGGTGACACCCAGCTCCTAAACTTGAATCTATGGCCGTGTGACGGGTTTTAGCACTAGAAACAGAAGTTTAGTACAGGGCGAGGTGGAGGGAACAGGAAGAGGACGACTCACAGCGGTATAATATCGGTCTTTATTGTGGCCGTTGAGGCATTTTCTTGGGACGTTTAGGTACCATTTGCAGCCCGCCTCGGGGCAGCACGGCGAGCGTTGACGTTCATGATGGTGTGGTTCGTCAAGAGGGTATGGCGGGCGGGCGGGCGGGAGATGGTGTCGCGGAGGTGGGGAATAGAGAGGCTGCCAAACAAAAGGCTTGGGACTTCGGCTTGAGTTCGTTGCCGAGGCTCGACGTGCCGTCGGCAAAGGCGGTGCTCATCCCAATATGGTAAAGGGGCGGAGGCGGAAAGTATCGAGTGGTGCCAGTTATCAGGTTATTTCCACAAAAAGCTGCCCTTGCACAAAAGAGAAACTTTACTCCTGAAGAGACCCGAATTTTCAAATCAACTGGAGGTTGCTTTAAGATACTGTCCCCCAATTAGTCGCTGACAGTGTGGAGTTATTTTTTTCAATTTTTTTTATTTTTCTCAACACGTGCAACATGTTTTGTACATGCCGAAATCA